TGGACTGCTAAAAGAACTAACAGATCTGTCTTGGAGGAAGTGCAGCCAGAATGCTCCTTGGAAGCAAGAATGGCCAGACTTTGTCTCACCTATTTTGGTCCTTTTATAAGAAGGGACCATTCCCTGGATAAGGATGTCATGCTTGGTAGGGTGGAGGGTCGACGAAAGAGGGGGAGGCCTTCAACTAGATGGATTGACACAGTGGCTGCGATGATGGACTCAAGTATAGCAGGGATTATGGGGCTGGCGCGGGATCGGGCAGTGTTTCATTCTGTTGTGCATGGGGTCGCTATGAGTCGGAAACGACTCGACGGCACTTAACAACCACAACAACAACATTATTTTGTTTTGCTAAGGGTCTGTTCTAGAATCCACTCTGACCACTCTGACTGTGCATTTACTCTTACATTAGACTATCATTATATAGTCACAATGGTTGTACAATTACTTTATGTGAAGAACTCTGTATTTTCCATCATAGAGGTTAAAAGTTATTAGAGAAATAGTTTTAACTACCTGTTTTCAGTGAGCTTATCTTACTGGAAAGAGAAAAGAAAGTGAGTATTTATGAAGCAATATGAAATGACATGGTAACTGATGAAGCATTTTCATACATACTAGAAAAAAGAATGAAAGATAATACTGGATAATGGGATTTCATGTAGATTTTTGTTTTCTTCATTGTTTTTAAAACTTCTGTGGCAGTGTCTTTTGGATTTGGAACCAAAAGTAAATGTAACTTTTTCTGGAGGTAGCACATGTTGAGGACACAAAAATACAGAAAATGTTTAGAGAGTATGGTGGTTAAATTTGTGTGTCAACTTTGCTGGGCCTGGCTGAATGGCTGGGCAGCTGGTGGTAGTTATTCCCCATGATGAGATGACTGGCAATCAACTCCATGGTGGGACCTACCACAAGCAGCTAAGTAGCTGCTTTAGGGATGTGGTCTGCTTCCTGTATATAAGAAACAGCTTTGGGAGTGGTCTGTAGCTTATGGCACGCTTGAACCCTGCATGTAGCCATGTCATTGTTGAGCATCCTGCTGTGCTCTGCCAACCTTGGGACTTAAAATGGACTTGAATTAATGGCCATGTGGTTTGGTAACATCAGGAGTGTGCCATTTTATTTGTCGACCTTGGGCTTGTTAGCCTCAGGAAGCAGTAGCTGCCTGAGTGAAGAGATGCCTCTAGCTCCAGTGGGCTGGGAGCAAGAGGCAGAGCTGAAGCCCAAGGTTGAGGGGCTTCACCTTGAACCTGGTACTTTGAACTTGGACTTAAAGCCTCCGAACTGTGAGAGAATAACCTCCTGTTTGTTAAGGCCATCCCATTTGTGGTATAATACTCTTAGAGCAGCACTAGGTAACCAAAACAGAGAGGATAAAGAATCCAAGTTGGATGAAATTAATTATGGGAAGAGCATTTATTTCTTTCTGGGGATTAGACAACCCCAGGTTGGGAACACAGTTGACTTCAGTGCTACTTCCTTTCTTCCATCTAGTTTCCCTCTCTAATTAGTTACCTTCTTCTGCTACATAGTGTTCTATAAGAGGTTACCAGGTTTCCATGTTAGAAATATCAAAAATAGAGGAATGTTACTTGTATTTTTGCAGGTTGCTTCATGTGAGAAATGGAAACTGCAAATATCATTTGGGTGAAGAAACATTTAAATTAGCTCAGACATTTATGGATAAACTGTCAAAACATGGCCAACAAGCAAACAAAGCTGCACTCTATGGAGAATTGTGTGCACTCCTGTTTGCAAAAAGTCACTATGATGAGGTAAGTGTTTTAAAGTGCATTTCATTGTGACCAGTAAGAGTGAAACAGAGGATAAGTAAAATAATCGTCTCTTACTTGTCTTAGAAATATCATTTTCACGTACTAGGTTTACTTAAAGGAGTACACAGTTGTAATTGAATATTAAAAGTCTGGCAAAAGTAGTATTCCATGAGATACATTTTATACATACACATGTAAGACTTTTTTTTTTTTACCAAATGGATCTTTATCTAAATTGTTTTGATGGGCATGTTTTATTAAATGAGCCTTTAATAAATGCTTTTTGTTAGATATGTAGTTCTACGTGAATTCTCATAACTTGTAGGCAGGCATTCATTTCGATGGGAAGTTAAATTTTATTTGTACCTTATTGTATTGCTTTGCTCCTTCCTCTGCCTTATGAAAAAGATAGCTTCATCCCTGGTTTTACCTCTGTAAGAGTGCATCAGACCCGCATGTAGAAATATAAACCCCTGAGCAGCATGCCTGTGATTTGTGGGGAGGTTTATGATTGAATTCTTTAATGTTGAATTCCCATGTCTCCTGAATTAGCTCTGTTGATGGATTGTTCTGTTCTCCCTTGTGTACAGTGATTGTTCATTCCTTACCAATTCAAATGTAGAGCTTGGCCCCTTTGTATGACTTCCACACACAAAAACAAAGAGCCCCATTCATATAAGGCTTTTTTGTGGATTACACACTTTACTGAAAATGAGAGTAAGGTTAAACCTCTTAGTATTGTGTACAGTGTTAACTCGAATATTAGTTATAAACCAAAAACAACCTTGTTGCTATTCAGTAGAGTCTGGCTTATAGTGACCCCATGTGTTACAGAGTAGAACTACTCTGTAGGATTTTCTTGGCTATAATCTTTACAGAAACAGATCACCACGCCTTTCTTCCTTGGTGCTACTGGGTTAGTTCACCTTTAAGTCAAGTGAAAACTGTTTATGCCTCCCAGGGACCTATTCCCCACCGTCTTTTTATATCTCTGCATAGGAATCTAGCCATCCCTGGTTCTACTTTCATCATTTCTTTTCATCTTCTCCTTTCCATACTGCCCTGTGGAACTCCACATTCCTCTATCTCTTACACAGAACAATTCATACCATGTCATTCTCTATGCCCACATTCAGCTCCAGGCCTATCTTAATCTATCCAGACCCACTGAGGTACTCAGCAAAACAGAAGTATCTTACTTAACAGTTTCCACTCTTTCTGTGGTAGGCAACTGTAATTTTAATTAGCAGTTATTTTCTCTCTACAGTTGGACTTTCTTTCCATGGTACCCCTGGGTAGGTTCAAACTGCCAACCTTTAGGTTTGCAGTCAAGTGCAAACCATTTATGCCATTCCAAAAACCAGAAAAACAAACCCACTGCCATTGAGTCAGTTTCAACTCATACCAGCCCCCATTGGGTTTCCAAAGCTGTAAATCTTTGCAGAAGTAGGTTGCCCATCCTCCTTCCATGGAGCAGGTGGTGGGCTTGTCCCGCCAACCCTCTGGGTGGCATCCAAATGCCTTATCCTCTGTGCCACCAGAGCTCCTTTATGCCTCTTAGGGAACTTCAGAAGTGCTATACTTATGATTATTATAATAAATAACATATAGATGAAGAGGTGAATTTGGTGAGGTTTGGGAGGATTCCCAACTCAAAGCTTCAATGTCTCCAAAAGGGACCTGCTACTCTTAGCGAGCATCAATATTTATCACCAACTAGGAAGCCCATAGGAGCTCTGGTAGCTTAGTGCCTAAGGCATTTGACTGCTAACCAGAAGGCTGGTGGTTCAAACCCACCAGCCACTCCTCAGAAGGATAGGGCAATCTATTTCCGTACTGATGCTGCCTCGGAAACCCAAGGAGGGGTTGCTGTGAGTCGGGTCGGGTCCGACTCGATGGCACATAACAACAACAACAACAACAACAGGAAGCCCATGGAGTATCCAGAGCCTTTTTGAGGCCTCATTGTGTAGGCATAATTAACTTAATCAAGACCCAGGGAGCTGAACTCAGGCTCCAGCCGCTCCTCCCCTGAGGGTAGTTAATAATCATGCAGCTGATATCAGTGGGCCTGGCAAGCCCCTTCCAAGAGTAACTTCATCAGCATAACCCATTTGGTAGTTGTGGTCTGGAGTCCTTATCAAAGACAAGTTAGTCACTAGGGAAATTCCAAGGTTTTAGAGGTTCTCTTTCAGGAACAAAGGGCAGAGACCAGATTCTTTGGGTGAAATTAACCCTACAGTGGAGGGTCAGTGTGAAAGAGAAAGGCCCTCAATCAGATGGATTGACAACAGTGGCTGCAACAATGGGCTCAGGTATAACAAGCATCGTGAGGTTGGCACAGGATCAGGCAGTATTTTGTTCTGTTGTACATAGGGTCACTATGAGTTGGAGCCGACTCAGTGGCACCTACCAACAACAGCAACTCTGAGCAATGTAGCAGTGTAAAATTTAAGTCTGGCTTGGCACAATAAAGTTTCTTTCTCATGCTGCATCCCTGTCTTGGGATAGCTGTGGCAGTGCTTCACATTGGATCAAGAACCAAGGCGGTAGCACAGCTTCTGCCTGAGACCTTGCCAGACCTACAGCAGAGACAAAAGCATCATGAGGTAGTTACTCCTCTCTGGCTTCTAGAGCTTTCTCCCAGAAATGGCACATTTTAGTTCTCATGTTTTTATTGGCTGAAGGAAGTTTCATAGCCACACTTGTCTTTAGTGTGGAGGGCATATGTATCCTCCAAAGAGGGGCATTGAATATTTTAAAACATTATTGCAGTCTAGCACCACAGTTCTAAAGATTTTACTCTGTTACGTGAGAACAAAATCAGCTCATTTAGCATCTTACAAACAAACCAAGTTTTTAGTCTTGAGTCAAAATAAACCTCTTTTGAATTGTTGTACCACAATTACCTTCTTTTTCTTTTTAGGTGCTCAGTAAATACAGTATTTATTGAATAAATGAAGGCGAATATTTAACTGAGGGAAATGATACTTGAGGGAAATTTTTCAGGCTCTCGATTTCATTGATTTTTAAGCTTTTAGAAAATGAGTAGGTTTGCCATGAGTTCAAACTTACTTTTTTTTTTTTTTTTAATTGTGATTTAGGTGAAAGTTTACAAAGCAAATTCATTTTCCATACAGTAGTTCATCCACATTTTGTTTCATGACATTGGGTGCAATTCCCCACAGCGTTAACAGCTCTTTTTCTACTTCCTCCCTATGGTTACCTCTTTCCTTTGTCCCTCTTTTGTATGCATTCCTGCCCCCTGAGCTATCTCCCTGTGCATATACTACCTTTCTGTTCTCCCATGATTGATTATTCTAAGGAGTATATCTACCTGATGTTAAATGTTCACCCTACATGCCTGTCTGTTGTTTGACTGGTAGCCACAGGAGTGAGTTCAATTCCAGTCCTGAGGGATAACTAGAGGCCATAGTCTTGGAGGTCTACCCTGGCTCTGACCAGTAAACTTGGTCTTTTTTTGTGATTTTTGAGTTTTGTTCCACATTGTTCTCCCACTTTAGAAACCCTGTGGGGCAATTCTACTGATCCTTTTCTGAGGCACCACAATACCTTTGAATAGCTTATCTTTTTAGTGAACGGGAGAGAAAGAAACTTGTAGAAGAGACCAAATGCTTATTGAGCACCTATTACATGAAATCAAAACCAAACCTACTGCCATCCAGTTGATTCTGACTCATAGTGACCCCATTGGATTTCCAAGGTGGTAAATCTTTATGGAAGTAGATTGCCTCGTCTTCCTTCCACAGAGTGGCTGGTGGGTTTGAATCACCAACTGTCTGGTTAGCAGTCAGATATCTCAGGTACTATACCACCAGAACTCCTAACTCTACTAGGCTCTTTTATAGATGAGGAAACCTAGGCCCAGAGAGTGGCTTGACTAACATTTAATAGTGAAGTGGTAGAGTGTGATTTCAAGAATACATGACTTAACAGTATATGCTTTTTCTGTATCACATATTCCTAGCATGAAAATGGGCTCTTTGTATTGCCAGAATAGTGGCCAAGTATGCATCCCATGACCTGAAATCTCTTCCTTTGTGCTTGCTTACCTATGCAGATGAGTTGCAGACCATTCTTTCTTAATATACCTTCACTAGTGACCCCTTCCTAAGGAGCTCTGGTGGTGTAGTGAATAAGACATTTGGCTGCTAACTAAAAGGTTGGTGGTTTGAATCCACCACTTGCTTCATGGAAGAAAGATAGGGCAGTATGCTTCCATAAAGATTTACACCCAATTCATTCCAAGATTGCAGAATAGGCAGAAAGACAGCACAGACCCTCTTCAACAAAGAAAAGGGGAACCAATTAACACAGACACAGAAGATAATCCTGGACCCCTGAGCCTTGAAGAGAAGGATATAGAAGTGACTAAACCCCACCTAGCAGAAGAATTTGCATGAAAATACCAGAAAAGGAGACATACAGGACTACGGTCTGGCAGTTATCCTGACAACACGGCACAGACAGCTTGGAGATTCCCAAGTAATGGTAGGACCTAAGAATTAACCTAAAAATCAGCCCTGCTAGCCAGGGACTGCACGGAGGACTACTCTGGTGGCTGTGGAATAAAAGGGAAAGCAGCAGTGAACAGGAAGATGGGTTGAGCTGTGGACTTTTGCCGGTCCGGAGGCCGCCACCATTTTGAATGTTTACAAGTGGCTTGACCATTTTGGATATTTAAAGAGACAGTGCTCTACCAGATTCCAGGGGCTTAAGAACAGGTTCTGCTTGCCAGTAACCCCAAGGACACTCGGGACCTGCACAACTGAAAAGGTGCGATGTTCCTCTTGTTACTCTCATACCCCACACCCACTTGGTGAGCAGAGGTGCAGCCATCCACCACTCCCACCACCTTCTGGACCCGCAGGAACTCCTTCCCAGTCTGTGTGCTCCGATGGAGCCTGGGTGCCCTGCCCTGTCCTCCACCGATTTTTTTCTTTTTTTCTCTCTTTTTTTTTTTTTTTCCTGGTGTTTAG